CTAGTGTACAACGCCGCCCGAAAAATCGGTGTTTCAGTGATGTTAGCAGAAAACTAATTAAATCCAGAACTATTAGTTATTAAACCTAATTTTGCCTTTCCTTAAGTCACTCCCCATATAAAGCAGACGCACTAAGCAACTACCAGAACGGCAACAAGTGCAGGCTGCTGATAGATCTTTTGTCCTAAGACTGTTTAAAACCAAAAGCCCTGCTAAGCTAATTTTTACCCCTTGTAAAAAATCCCATGTAAAAAACCTGTTATTTTATAATCAAAATTCAACACGGAACTTTCGGACACAATATCTAGATTCAAACTTTAAAGTATTCTACTTCGTTCATAGCCGAAGCCACTGCCCATACCATTTGAAATTCCTAGGCCAGTACCAATACCAATGCTGCCGAGACCTGAAAAGCAAGAAAAAATTTATAAAAACTAAAAGTTTACGAAGCTGATGTAAAGATGCAATGTAGTGTATGAGAGTATCCGTTTTCTACCAACCTGATAAGTCTTGCAAAATTTACTGCATGGATTTGTCCTGATGGAAAGCCTGTCACAAAAAAAAAACACGTAAATCTGTTTTAAATCATATCAAATAGCGTTCAGATATGTGAATGGCCAGCATCCTTTCTATGGTACTCACTTCTAAGTTAACGGGACTTCATCACTCAACCTCAGAATTGCTCAGTTTAATTTTAAAAAAAAACACGGCGCTAAGTGAGTAAAAAAAAAATCTCATTTTTCACGGATCCCCGCGGTATTTTCGAAAGCTCCTGAAGCATAAAAATGGAAAAAAAACGAGGAATTTATACCAGGTCCAAATCCAGGTCCCACACCTGGACCATAACCTGTGCCATCGTTTGCTTCTGTTCCATACAATTTCCAACTCTCAAAATTATTCGGTATGTGATGAGGTAATTCGGAGAGAAAATGCTTTTTCGTACCATTCTGTTTTTTCTCGTTCCCAGATCGACAGAGATTGGGATTTCGTTGACATTTCAAATCATCCAACGATAGTGCGCCTGGAAAATTATTTTGTGTCCGGAAAAAACTGCGTTTTTACTATACATTCTAAATTTCTCATTTGTTTCACTTTTTTTAAAATGAGTTTATCATCTTACATTTATTTTATCGCATAATTGCTTTTTTCCTCCTAGCTTTCAAGGATTTAGTCATTTCGTGAAGCCTTTGACAATCCCAATTGCAATTGCAATTGGGATTGTCAAAGGCTTCTCGAAATGACTAAATCCTCGAAAGCACTTCAGTGGGAAACCAGTGAAATGGTAGTCCCTTCAAGAGACGAAATGAATGTCAAGACTGCCAATAGGCTGACCA